ATTGACTTCAATACAGTTCCACACCCCCTCCCGCACCTAAACACAGGGAGTCGGCCTGCTTACATTCTAGTACATTACAGGTCCCGGCGTCCTGCCCTCCCGTGGTGCTCGTGTGGCCGACGTTGCACATGGGGTGTCCTGCCCCTTTCCATCTGCAGCGTCTGACACATTCTAATTTATTTTTTACTATTTATTTTATTTTCATTATTTATTTTTCATTATTTTAAATTTTCATAATTTTTTTTTTTTTACTCTGGGGGGGGGGCATCGGGGAAATAGTAGGGGGTCTAAAATGCCCCCTGATATTTCCCTTTTAAAATAGAAAAAGAAATTGGAGGACACAAAGTCCTCAATCTCTTTTTCTGCAGTCTCTATTCTAAGGGTCCCCACACACCTTCCGATTATCGTACGAGAATAGCGGGAAATCCCGCGATCGTACGATGATCGTAAGGTGTGTGGAAGCCGTGCGACCTCTACTACTGTAAGGTCGCACGACTTTAAACTTAGGGACATGTTCGAAAACCCGCCGAGCATCGTACGATGTTCGGCGGGTTTGTGGCATGTCCATACGATAACAACCGCACGGGCCGGTGTGCGCAAGCGCACACTGCCCGTTCGGCATTGCGGTCATCGGAAACCCGTCCCTCAGGGGGCGTGGCTTGCGATCATCGCAAGTACGATCTGCCTATGCAACATAGGCAGATCGTACGTTTTTTTAAGTACCTTACAACCATCGCAAGACAGAAGTCTTGCGATGGTTGTAAGGTGTGTGCCCAGCCTAAATGAATGGAAAGCACAGAGGCTTCCCATTCATTAAGAAAATATTTTACTATCAAGCTGTTTCTGAATGGGGAGGAGCCTCTGTACAGAGTGCTTCTCCCCATTGAGAAACTTATGAATGAAGAGGAGGTGATGTAAATCACCTCCTCTTCATTCATTTATAACTGGGGACACATAGTACTATGTGTCCCCAGTTATTTACAAACACTGGAGTGATCAGCCGATCGCTCCAGTGTTTGTCCCACACAGAGGATTGTTATATACTACTGACATGTACCGATCCTCTGCCGCTGGTCCACGCACAGGGGGGCTGCCACTTCTCTGGATCCCCCTGCTCCCCCTGATACTACGAGCCGCGGGGGGGGGGCGGGGCGGAGCCGCTGTGAAAGAACGGACGAGCAGTGAGGGGAGAGAGAGGCGCCGGCTGTCCGATACTGGCCGAGCGTCTCTCCTCACTGCTCTGCATTATAGTGACAGCGGCTCAGTCCTCCGCCGGTTCCTTCACGTCTTCTCGGATCCCCGATGGGGAGAGCAGCGGGGATCCAGAGAAGCGGCGGGAGGAGAGGACATGGCGATCTACCAGTGATCGCTACGCGATCACTGGTAGATCGCGATCGACCTTGTGGGCACCCCTGTCCTAGATTGTTCACTTCTCCAAACTCTTCACCCTTTTTGTGAATAACCGTGTAGGTCTTACAGGACTATAGTGCGTCTCATGAGAGAGCAACCACATGTACAAAATCAATTAAAAAGTAAACTACAGGAATTAAACTAGAACTGGCAGCTAGATCAAAATAAAACATGGCAAGGGCTGCACAACACAGATCCTGGTAATACATTAGAATATACCGTTCTGCATAGGTGTAGAACAATTTGTTTCAGCACATAGATATCCCCAGTACTTATAGTATTAAAACGGTCAAACTTTTCTTCAATAATGAATCCAGATAAAACAAATCTACATTGCCAGCAAAGCAATGCTTTACATTTTGCCCAAGTACTTACAATCATCATGTTTGTGAACAGCTGCTTCCATGTCCCTCAGCTTTCCTGAACTTCCTGTCCAGTACAAGAATAGGAGGAACAGAACAGTCTTTGGCAGCAGTCCCAGTCCATCTACTAGCATGCAAAGATGCAAAAAAGGGAATAGGGGAACAAGGGTCTTTCCTTGCTGTCTGGAGACACACAGCTTACTAAACATACAAGGGTGGCTCCATAAGCCCCTGCAAGGGAAAGGAGCCACCCTAATAGGATATCATGACCAGCAGATTCAGCAGGAAACAACTTTTAAACATCAAGGAGCAGCATCCATTGTAAAATATTTAATCAGCATTTGAAATGGCTTAAAAACATTTTGACTTTAATATCACCAACACTAGTCTGTACATGCGTCAGTAGAGGAATACAAAAACTATACTTTATTAAAAGGAGAAGTATTGGGAGAGTAAAAATGTACTCTTCCCCAATAGCTAAAGCCCAGTTTGAGCTAGAGTCGACGTGCGACACGCCGGCTCTATAGCTCAAAAAACGCTGATGCTCAGCTCACAGTCTCTCCCCGAAGGAATTCTCCCACTCAACTCTCTTTATCCCTCCCGTGATGACTGGAGGGACAGACAAGGGAGGGGGCGGGCACAGCTGCCTCTTGACAATATTGTTGAAATCCTTCCTGCCGGCATCATGGCTCTGCACAGCCGAGATTTGGCAATAGTTCTCTTAACAGTGCAACTTTGCAAAACAAAAATCAAATACCACAGCACAATTCCCTCTGTACATTATCTTTTATTATTTACATAATACAATATAGCATAAATGCTGAATAGCATGATTATGTGCAATACATAAATATGAACTATCTGTACACATTTGCATATCTAGTAACTCAGAAGTACAAGGTTTAAAGCAAAACAAAGAAAAAAAAAAAAAAGTGATGCTTGGGAAAATATATTGTAAACCAAGGGACAGAACACACAAAGTAAAATCTTAAAGTGAGGCTGAGTGAACATTCATAACTATTTACAAAATGAGACCAAGCAATACCACAGCACTATTCTAAAAACTGTACTTCTATCCAAAGAAAAACTAAAAATTGAAAAAGGGAAAGAAAACGAACTCTGCACGCACGCTCCATTCAAACCTTCCATTAGAACACAGAAGTGATATTACCATATAAGCAGACAAGCATCCAGGAAAATGACTGCCTTTTCTAGAGTTTAGTTTTTTTGTACAAAGCTGTAGATAACGCAGCCCATGCAATATAACCAAGAAAGTCTTGCACCCAGGTATAGCTGAAATGCAGGAGGGGAGCAGCCTCACTGGGGTTCCTAGTAGCACTCATGAAAGGAAAAACAAACCCCAAAAGACATATCACCACACATACGTGCGCACACAACCTTAAAATGAACAGAACAAAACCCTACAGCAGCCAAGTAAGGTATGGTTTCCATGCAAATCTGTGCAGTTGAATCACATAGTAAAACCTCCATTTAAGGATAAAAGCCATTTTATAGACTACCTTACTAAAAAAAATAAAAATAAAATAACATATGTATGCCCCAAGCGCTGCAGATGAAGCCCTTGTCCCTCGATGGATTTGGTTCCATCTACTGAAGTATTACTATAATTGCTTCTAATGCTGATGGGTAAACCTCTAAGCTCTCAATTTTCAGATGGCCTCCATTAACGAACTATAAATATAAAATAATGCAGACACAAAAAGGCACAGGAGGGCTTTCAAAAGTTAATATCAAGCGCGGCTTGAAACTCTGCAGTGATGTGCTAGGAGGGAAACCAAAGTTAAAAAAAAAAAAAAAACCACAACAAGGCAAATGTTAACATACAGGGGAAGACCCATCTGGTTCAGAGTATAGTAAAAGGTCATCTATTTCACTTATACATTGTTTTTGTTGTTTTAACTTCCAAAAGGGGTGATCCCAAAAGAGAACCAAGCAGTGGATCTAATAAAATACACTTTCACAGAAATAATAAACTGAATCACTGCTTAATACTGGGATCACTAAAACATACCTGCAGCTATTACTGTCCAAAACAGATACCAGGGTAGTGCTCACATTTGCTAATTGTGGGAAACAGAAATGAGGATGTTTTTAAATGAGCATTGAACATAAAAAATTGCTAAAAAGCAAGCAAACACTGAAATGATCTGTGCACTTGAGGAGCCTCTGCACATAATCCGCATGTTAAGCTTCAAACTAGAGCTTGGGCATGCCAACCATGATCCCAGAATGCAATGAAGGCAAACTCAGTGGCCGATAGAAACGTGGGAGGACAGAGGCATGTCAAGGCTCTGACTTAGAGCTCATGTCAAAGACTGATGGGGAATGCACACTAGTGCAACAGGTGCAAGTGCACAGAAGTTCGGTGCACTTAGGACAATTAGGTGCGCTTTCTATACTTATGTTAATACTAGAATCCGCCGCAAACCTGAAAGGTTTCATAGTTGGCTAAGACATTTTAGAATAGATATTTTAGAGGATATCACACACACCATGTGGACATATTTCTAACTGTGCAGTTAATCATGGTATACTCTAACAACTGTAATACAACAATGTCCACCAAGAATGCTGGCACTGACAGTACACTGTTTGGGGGACGGGCCAGAAAAAAAAAAAAACCGCTGCAACACGCAGGAGAAAACTGGTATGCATTGCAAACATTAAACACTGTAAAGAAAACCCATCTTTCAGCCTTGTTACTAGTTATCTGTGTTGCAATGTTCGTACTACAAGCACAATATTAGCTGCAGGCATGCAACTATTGATGGCTACATTTTGGCACATTCACTAGTTAACATTTCCCCGACCATATACTCATTTCATGAAATTGGTGTGGACCGACGCCAAGCAGTCCACATTCTGTGAGCTTGGGAACACAAAATAGGAAAGAAAAAAAAAAAAAAAAAAAAAGGGGTGTATCACTTAGTTCTTAAAAAA